AAATACTAATGCATGAAAATCCTAACCTCAAAAAAATCACCCGTTATTATAAGTGAACGATAATGAAAGAACTGTTCTTCTCTTTTCTAAAGTACTTAAATTGATCAGCATTAGCCGCGAGCCATAGGATGGAACAGGAGCCTCAAACCGCAGCGAACGCAGTGCGAATTTCAGAAATACTTTTTGAACGCGTTCAATTCTACCTATCGATAGTTGGTCATATGGTCTCCAAACTATTACCGCATATTCCAAGTGTGAACGAACAAGAACCGTAAAAAGCAATTTAAAGGTATATGGGTCTGAAAACTCGGAAGTGTTACGCCGAATAAAGCCAAGAGCAGAGTACGATTTCGAAAGGATAAAATTAATATGAGTATTGAAGGATAACTTAGAGTCAAACATGACTCCAAGGTCCTTAGTCTCTGTTACTTTTTGAAGCGCACAGTTAGCAATAGTGTACTGTGTTGAAATAACATTTTGACGCCTAGAAAATGTTAAGTGAAAACATTTTGTTATATTCAAAGAAAGACCCGACTTCAAACACCATAAATGAAGTTTATCCAGGTCCCTTTGAAGATTTATAGCATCGGATGAGTCCTTGACAACTGTAAAAACTTTCAGATCATCGGCGTAAAGCAAATAATTCGAAAAGGAGAAACAGTCGTTGATATCATTGATAAAAAGGACGAATAAAAGAGGTCCTAAAATGCTCCCCTGAGGCACACCTGAAGTAGCCACAAATGGGTTCGACGATACACCATCAATAGTTACCACAGAACATCTCTGCGTTAAATACGATTTAATCCATTCTAAAAACGATGAGTGAAAACCTAAGCAAACCAGCTTATTTATTAAGATCCCGTGAGATACCCTGTCAAATGCCTTTGAAAAATCAGTATAAACACAATCGACTTGGAATCCTGCCGAGAATGAAGAAGTACAAAATTCGCTAAAAACTGTAAGATTAGATACTGTCGAGCGGCCTGACACAAACCCATGCTGATTCGGACAGATTAGAGATTTAACTGCAAAATAGAGCTTGTCCTTAACGACACATTCAAACAGTTTTGAGATGTTCGATAGTTTCGAGATCGGCCGATAGTTCCGAACGTCATTTTTTCTTCCACTTTTAAAAAAAGGTGTGATAGTAGATAATTTCCATTCATCTATGAAAATACCTGACGATAGCGATTTATTAAAGATTATCGCAAGAGGAATCGCTAAGGCCGGACAGTTTTTAAATAAGATAGCCGACATCCCGTCTGCGTCCGTTTGCGAAGAAGGTTTAAGAGAAAGCATCCCCTTTATAATGTCATCCGATGAAATAAAAAGAGCCCCAAAGTTGAGAATAGAAGATATTTCAGAAGAGAAGTTAGGGAATTGCCCGTCATCAGCAACGTAATTTGACATAAAAAAGTCAGCAAACAAATTAGCTGCTTCAACAGGAGTACTAGCAAATTTATCGTCGAGCATTACCGAAGTAGGTATACTTGCACATGATTTTTTGGATTTGACAAAGTTCCAAAATGATTTCGGATTAGCTTTAATGTTCCGTTCGGTGCTACGAATATAGTTTTTGTAGAGGAGATTATTTAATGATTTAAATTCCTTATGATAACGCTGGTATTTTACAAAGAAATAATGATTTTTTGATGATTTAAATTTTTTTAGATAACTATTTTTGAGATTTTTTAGTTTCTTCAGGTCTTTGTTGCACCAGGGTGATTTATAACAGCGCTTCTTTTTTAAAGGTATATTGTGTAAGCAAAAATCGTGCATTATTGACTTAAAAGTGGAAAAGCAGCCGTGAGTGTCCAGGCCGAAAAATAACTCATCCCATTTATAATCTAAAAGAGATGTATTTAACCTTGAAAAATCACAGGATGCATAATTAAAAGCAGTTCTATCAATAGGCGATGTTGTTGCGAACTCATAAAACTTTAGCTTAATATCTAAAGGGATATGATGAATACCAGCATCGGAAATTGGAGAAATGCACTTTGATATTAAAAAGTTAATATTATCTGTTACGAATATCAGGTCTAACAATCTATTTAAATTGTTGGGAAAACAGTTAATTTGCTTTAAGTTTAGGCTTAGCAAGCTATCTACAAAATAAGTTTCGTGATTGGTAACTATATTATTAGGCAGGAGATCTGAATTATTGGAATTAATACACCATCTAACGTTACAAAGGTTAAAATCACCCAGCACACAAAGATGATCGTCATTTAAATTATCTACCACTAGACTAGCTATGTTATCCACATGTGCCTTATATAAGTCAAAATTACTATTAGGCGGAATATAAGAGGTTATTAGATATAAAGAGCCATATGCTTTAGAACCCTTGATGCAGACACATAATTGGTCAAGCAACGAGTCGTCACTATTGAGCTTCACTGAAAACGCCCGAAACTTTCTTCTTACAGCAATAAGAACTCCGCCTCCTCTCAAGCAGCCTGTTTTAGCTGAGTCCCGATCTTTGCGAAACACGTCGTATAGGTTTAGATCGAAAAATTCGCCTTCATAGAAGTCCGCGTTTAACCAGGTCTCCACAATAACGATTACATCATACAATTCTTCAGTGCTAAAGCGATGGATAGTATTAGACTTTGTTCTTAATCCCGAAATATTTTGATAGTATATGTTAAGAACATCACTACATTTGACATTTTCACGGCAATTGTTTATCGTCACATTTGTTGTTGTTGAGCTGTTTGCTTTTGAAAAAAACGAAATGGCCTAACTCTTACATTAGCCGGCCATAGTGACGAACTTAATAGCTTCTGATAATTTACCGATGAGACGCCCAGTTTGAAATTGACTCGCTTGTGTTTGCCTACTGGGTCATCCTTCTTAACCAACATGTAGCAAGCGAGAGAATCAGCATCAATACCAGCATGTTTAGCTACATATTTCTTTATGTCTTCAGCGCTAACTTGCGGGTCAAACGATGAAAGGTGTAACCATTTATTGCGGATAGCGACACTCAGCTCAGTGCTATCATTTGAGCCCACAACAACCAAAGCCTTCTTTCGCCTTCTGTTTTTCACTTCAGTCCACGCAGCATTGTTATTTGAGTTTTTGTCACCAATCTCTGTTGATTCATCATTGGTTGCCGAGCGATTATCATTATCAGCAGCCGAAGTACCAGTGGCATGCGCAGCAGCCGATGGGTTATCAGCAGCCAAAGAGGTATTGCGAGGAGACAGCGTCACAGTTTCGTTGACTGTGCACATGCTTGGAGAGCATATGCCTATTGGGTTAGCAGAGCACGCAGTAACCACGTCGGCAGTGAGAGCGTTGGTTGTAATGGCACCAGCAGAAGAAGCAGCAGAAGCAAAAGAAATTGAAGAATTAATGCTCAAGGGCGACTTATTAAGGTCAGCGACCCTAGCTTTTGAACGCGTAATAATCAAATTGTTATTATCAGCTGTATCATTACTAGGCGCAATGTTGCTAGCAGCATTGTTGATAGAAACGTGCGATATATTCGAATTTTTTGGATATTCTGGATTATGCAGGTTGGAATGTCCTCCAAAAGCAGTTTCTATTTCTTTTAGTGAACACAAAGCATTACTAATCTTAGCCAAGCAGGACGAAATAGATACACTGCTGCAGGTGTCACATCTGAATATTAGATTTTTATTAGATTTGATTACTTTGAGGCAAGCGGAATTTAGTTTTGCACATTTTAAATGAAAGTTCAGCGAACAAAGTCCACAAGTAATAATTTATGATTAGGCTTGCCGCCTTTTCGAAAAGCCATGCCCATCTAACTAAGTATCTATCACAGCGCACGGCAGTGCGCGCGAGTGACGAAAGCAGCAACAGTAGCATGCTG